ACCATGGACAATATGAACTTTTTTGTTCATTTTAGGGTGAAGAATCTACTGGAGAAGTTTGTAGCACGAGTAGCAATTCACCCTGTATAGATAGTTCATTTTTTTCCTAATCGATGTTTAATATTAAAAACTGTTTTATTAAAATGAAATATATTTTTCCTTGTTTTTAGGAAAAATCGGTTCACGCCTCAATAAGTCTTTTTTTCGAACTTTTCAACAAAATTTTTATATTCGATCAAAAAGATTAATTATCGTTCTTTTAAAGGCTCAAGTATTGTTTTACCCTTTCAATACCTTGAAATCATCGGAATAAATTTATAAAGAGGAAAGAAAAGCCAAATGGAACAAATTGATACGAAGTTTTTCCGAGGGGGTTAAGTGAAAGCTTCGGAGGAAACTTTTCTTTCGGACACTTTTGTTATTTAATTATTTGTTTTACCGTTGGCCGAGAAATCACAAGATTTTGAAAATAGGAAGAAAAATACCAGGGAGTATTCGACTATTCGACAGAAATGAAAAACCTCCAGTAATTGCACAACTTTTCACAAGTGAAACCTTGTTTTAATTCATTTATTTACAACTGCACTTTAAATACGCAACAAAAAATATTGAAATTGGTATTATATTGTGTGAACGTGCACATAAGGTTGTATGCACGGGCAAAAGGGCGTATAATAAGGCATGAACGGGTTCCATCCAACTGTAGCCACCAGCCAAGTCCATCTATAAACGGGGTGGAAATCACTTGGCAACTATGTTTTGCCGATGTTAGCCAACAAATTTTCTCGTGGGCAAAGTAGCTTCAGTCTCCGACGGGGATTGGCGGGTAATGTTAAGGATGGCAATTCGCGCATTAAGGGATTTGAGTGTAAAATGAAAATATAACTTTGAAGTGAGATTTTCAAAGTTCTCGCTACTAAAGCACTTATTTTACCATCGTTTACAAGTTTAGTAAAGATCACATCATATTAGAAATTTGACGTAGTTTTCAATAGTAACAACGGATTTGTCCAAAACCATCTAGTTTTGGAGTGATCATTGTTTATTTGAAGCAAGGTCGTGAAATCTTAAAAATTAGAAAAAAGAAGAATAACTCCGAAACTCTTGAGATTCGGACCTTAGTTAATTAGGACTTTTTGGTTCCATTTTGAATGTAGAATCTACTGGCAAAGTTTGTAACACGAGTAGCCGAACTCCCTGCATATTAAGCTCCAACACCAGCGAGAATCGGATAAATGGAGGAGAAAGAAGTGTCTTTAATTATAAGTTTGGAACGCCAAAGGCCGTTTAAAAAAAGATTTATTTGCTTTAAAACATACAGAGAAGATTACAAAGCAAAAAAGGCGAGAGATTTGTCAGAAGGATGTCGTACGTCCAAAGAACGTGGAGAAATACGCGCTGTTTCAGATAAGCGCTGGGTTTATGTGAAGTCGTAATGCATAGTCAGCTGGGGCAGTTCGTTCAACTTTTAACTTTGGACAGTTTGAAGTAACGGTCTGTAACGTAACATTTTAGTATCAGGAATATAGTAACTGGTAGGATACCCTTGACGTTCCAGAGAAGACCCGGGTGCCATACGATGTCCTGGAAGTCACCAGGGCAGTACGGTTTCAGTTCGAGGGAGTGGCAGTGGTGTCCAACACGCGATGAACTTGATGGAAAGTCGAATGGTAACTCCGAAAACCGAATTGGTGATTAGGAATATGGAATGGAATTTCGTAATGAAGGCGGAGCAACAGTAGTTTTTCAAACATCTTCCCGATTATAAGTAAACGAGTGATTGGTTTGTAGGAACTGGGAAGGTGAGTCGGTTTGTTTCGTTTAGGAATAACCTTTATTGAAGAGAATTTCCAAGGGTGGGTAGTGCGAAAGACAGAGTTGAAGGGATATCAAAATGATTGCTTTTTTTTAGGGAGTTGTGATAATTTTTGGAGTAATTATATCGTAACCTGGGCATTTTGTTTTCCTGAGGTTACAGTGGGCCTGCTTGACTTCTATGGGAGAAAATGGTTTGGGAGGAAGTTTCGTTAAAATTTGTCATGACCCTTGATAAAACCAGTTCGACATATTTGCTGTTTTATTTCTCTCAAAAAGTGCACAACCCTTTAGTTAATTTATCAATTTCTGCGGTTCCACTTCGTTTATTTCTGGAGGTCTCAATATCATCATTCCTAATAGGCTTTACCGTTTCCGGGTCAATCCTTTGCAGTCACAAAACACATTTTCCCATCTTTCTGCTGTTTCATGACAGACGCCCATTTACCATATTACCATATTTTTGTAGGTCTAAATGGACAAAGGCCAGAATAAAAGAGTATTATTTCCTTAGTTCGTGCTTCCTGACAGAGATACTAATTTTTCTTTTGCTAGTTTGTCAGCCTGTTCTTTTTGCTTCAATCTTGTCCTGGTACCCATATCCAAGTTACCTGATTTTCTAGGACATGGTTAGGCTTAAGATATCTTAGGCCCTGAGCAACATTGAATTGCTTCAAACACCTTCGAAAATTGGAGCAGCTATGGTGTGGTTTACACTTTCTGCGGCAAAACCAAGTGGGCTTATTTATCACCTGCGGAACTGCCAACTGGTGCTTTTCTGTTAATAATATTCCATACAATTGTATACCATGCAAAATGCTCTAGCCCAGCAAAGGTTCCCCACTGGTAACGGGTTTAGGCCTTCAGTCCTGCTTAGCTGTCGAGCACTCGAAGTTTTATTTTCGATATATCTGTATCCATAATGGGCTCATAAGATGTATTCGAGTGTGTAATATACTACACCCTTTGAGAGCTGTTGGATCTCCCGTTCTGTACTTATTGTACTTCGGTGTTAGTCCTGGTTAATCAAGAAACTTGATAAGTAAGCTCGGTTTTAGTGGTTGAATTTCTTCTACGGTTACGTTGTACGTACCAAAACACTTCCTCCTACGGGCTTATGTGGCGCCACAGTTTGTTATTGGGTGTGTTGGAGTCTCCTCTGCTCCTTTGCGGAATCTGCACGTGCCGTGTTGGGTTATACCAATCTTCTTCTGTCTGCAGTTTTTGTTAAGAAGCCTGTTAGGGTTTCAAGATTTTTCCTGCTTCATTTGATCCATTATGGTGCTTCTTTCCTTGAAAAACTTCGTTCTAGGATTGTTTATATCCAATGAGTGAATTCCACTGTTTTCTCATTTTCAATTTGTCTTTTTATCTAAGATTTAGCAGTATTTTTAGTTTCTGATTAGTCCTTTTAGGATTTTATTTTATTCTTCTGCTTTCTCTAAGGTCGGATTTTATTTTATTGTCCTACTTTCGTATAACATCTTCTGGATGTATGCAATCCCAATGGAACACCCATTGTTGAAGTCGGGCAAGTATGCATGGTACACCAATGTTTGTAATTCTTTTAATTGATAATAATTCCTCTTTTCCAAGTTTTTCGCTACCATTCCGGAGCTCCATATTAAATCAGAGAATGAATATTTAGTAGCCCATAGGATATCTTTTGATTTATAGCGCTTGTTTCACTGCAAAACTTTGCTCCACACTTGTGTCGTTTTGTCTATATGTGCGTGTTTAGTGACTGTTACTTGATGATTATTTGGAGGTCGTGAGATGCGGTCTGGTGTGAGGTTTTAGAATTTCTTTATCGTGCGGACGTTTCGATCTTTAATGAGATCATCTTCAGTGCTCAAAATGTGTTCTGTGTAAATGTGTCATTCTTGTGTGTCGTGTTGAGAGTGCGATTTGTCTACCTGTTTCCTCCAGGTAAGCTTATGAAGTTTGTTATTCTTAAATATTTGTTTGCCTGGAGCAGTGTTTAATGAGGATGGTTTTAGGCAAAGAAATAGTGTACCATCTTTAACTGCTAAAAATCTTCAGACTGTGTCATGCTGTAAACGATAAAAACAATGATTTCGAGCGAGAAGGCTACGGTTCGTAGTGTCAAAAATGATGTGTGTCGGGATATCATTGTAACAATAAAGGTCGATCTCGTCGAACTTAGCCCGTAATAGACCTCCTGCATTGTGATAAATTCCTTGTTGTGCACCCTTTGCAACATTTGACAATTCCTCCTCCTTTAGTCCGCCCTTTTCGTCTCGAAAGGCCTGCTATTTTCTAGTTGAGGTCGATTGTTCTTCCATTACCCTGATGGCCTCTGGTTGACGTCAACTTGAAAACGGGGTGGCGTCCCACGAGGGAACGATATATCGTCCAGAGCTTGTTATGCAAAAACATGCCCGGGCACGAGAGACAGCGTTTTGTCAACGGCATAAGCAATAACCACTTGGGGGATAATTTGCGCTAAAACATCAAAAATATTGTCTTTTTCGATGTACAACTTATTAAATTATTTATATCCCACTACATGGTATAATTAAGAATTTTTCTTCTTTTTTTGATTTCTCTGTATGGGCCGATTCAGCAGTTGAGATCTTCAGTGTTGCGTCTCAATTTTTTCTCTACCAATTTGCTGATTTTAAAATATTATATCATTATTAAAAGAAATGTGTGTTGCTCTGACGCAACATTAGGCCAGAAAGGGTTAAAACGTGCTGATTCAATGAATACGTAAAAGTAGGTAACATTTTTATGAAAAAAACATTGAAAACGGATTTTTTAAATTTTTACTAGGGTTCGCAACAGCAGATGTTATATCGGCTCGGGGTGCCGGTGTTTTTGAAAAAAAGCCCATGTGTAAGTATGTCGGGTTCGAATGCAGGGCCGCTGGATTCGAACCCGGGACCTTTACCTTACAGTGATGAGCGCCGTGTCAATGCCTAAACCGTTGCGGCCACCGACTCCCCCGGACATCCTTCTTATTGGCTATAAAAAGCAACTGATTTTTTTTCCCAAAGAGAATGTTTAAACACATAAAAACAATACAATTTTATGATTTGGTGGTAAACACTGATTTATTGACGTAAAACTTTAGATAGCCCATTTTTGGATGCCAGTAATCTTTCTGAGTCATCCTTTTGACGTTCATTCGATTAACCCTTTTGTTTTTTGTTTTTTTCCAGAAGCATCAGAAACTTTGCAGCATGGAAGTGGGTGTGGCGTCGTCGTACAACGGCGTTATGAGGAGTCAGAGCGAAGTCGGAGAGCGAAGCCCAGGCAAAGGACTCCACGTCAACTTCACCGAAAAGGGCGAAGTCAAGGAGAGACGTGAGAAGTTCCTGACGGCCAAGTACGGCTCTCATCAAATGTCTCTGATCAGGAAGAGGCTCGCTGTCGAAATGTGGCTCTACGACGAACTACAAAAACTCTACGAGTCGACGGTAAGCGATCTTTCACAAGTTCTCTACTTTAAACAGTGATTTGGCAATTATTCCACTTTCTCTTTCCTCTTAAACATTTCTTTTCAAGCCGGTGTATTCACCTTTCTTGAATTAGGCAATGTACTAAATCGTTAATCAGCCGGTCGATGCCCTGTTTTCAATCTCATCTGACGTCATGTGGGTGGCATCATTGTTTTCCGCCATGAGTTCGTAACAACCATTGATTGGATTTCTTTTCGCGTCTATCAAAACCGACCAACTTAATTATTCTCTCTTGAATACGACATTTTCATTAAATGGTTCAACCCTGAACAATTATCTATATCTGCGGACCATTCGAACGCCAACAATGTGCTTTTTGTTTATTTCTTTACCTCAGATTCAAATATTTTTTATATATCTATCTTCTACCATACATTCTGTAAAATTTCATATTTTTTGACAACCCATCGAAGGAAAAACGGTCTAATTATGGTTTTTTCCCCAACTTAAGCTGATGGAAACTGGAGAAATCTATTCTTAGACCAACTTCAATAGGATTTCAGCATCAAAACAATCCGTTGATCAATAGTGTTGACAGTGTTTCTAAGGTCCCTGGGTTTCTGGGTTATTACGCATTTTATTTGCTTGAGTTTACCCCGCCTTTTACGCATCAGGTATTCCATCATATTCTCTTAAGCAATTAATTTAATAAAATTATTTCGGATTTGTCCGGGCAAAACCCTGTTGTGCTCTCAGGGTTCGACGATATAAAGCCCACAGTACTGTCCGTGTATGTGTCCTCCTTCACTTGAGTACTCCTGAGTAAACAAATCGTCCTACTTTTGTGACTGGGGTAATATTGTCCTTGAAAAGGATAGTTGTAGAAGCTGATGTTGGTAGACTGTCCATAGCTTAGTCTCAGCCATGTCTGCTAAGCTACGAGGTAGCTATTGTTTGTGGTTGTGTTGTCATTTGTCTTTGTTGAGAATTCAGTGTCGATTAAGCAGGTTGATCCTTTGCTTATATATATGAGTGCTGTTCATTAACCGCTGCATAAAAGGCAGATGCATTATTGAAACAGTGACAGCTGGTAGAAACTCCAATAAACTGCATAGACCCAATGGTGAATACTGCCCAGACAACAGGTCAATGTAAACGATGAGTTTCATGCTCATCGCAGAGTAGTCAGTCACTAAACGTGTTTAGGAACAACACACCACTTTAGTGACTGGATAATTAGGAGTAGCCGGGCGACAGTTACATTCCTCGTCGGCTGTCTGCAGTACAGGCAGTCCTGAGAGACTGGTGGGTGTTTATGAACTGGATGTTGGTAGACGGCTGCTATCCTGACTGTCCAGTTATGAGTGTACGCTATTGAAAGTACCTTGATGCTTCTGACATTTTTCACTGTAGTTTTTCTCAGTGTGAAATCTCGACAATAAGCCTGATATTAAACCTTTGATTATATAGAAGAGTGCTGCATGTTCAATGGGTGTTGTTTTGAAGACGAAAGCATGTCCAACATAGTTGTGGCGCCTGATGGAAAGTTGAACTAAGCCACAGACAGCCTCCACATAGTTTCATGATGGAAACTGTCCAAACAACAAGCCGGGGAAAGGTAGCAGGGCGTTTTCTTCTACCGTGGTATAGAGCATTACCGTGTTTAGGAACATCGAGGTCATTACTTTAGTGACTGGGTAATTGGGAGTAGGCAGGTGACACTTACTTTCCTCGTCGGCTGTCTGCAGTACAGGCAGTCCTGAGAGACTGGTGGGTGTTTATGAACTGGATATTGGTAGACGGCTGCCGTACTGACTGTCCAATTAGCGATGACTCCTATGAGTGTAAGCTATTGAAAGTAACTTGATGCTTCTGGCTTTTTTCACTTTAGTTTTTCTCAGGGTGAAATCTCGACAATGAGTCTGATATTAAACCTTTGATTATATAGAAGAGTGCTGCATGCTCATTGGGTGATGTTTTGAAGGCGAAAGCATTCCAACATAGTTGTGGTACCTGGTGGAAAGTAAGCCACAGACAGCCTCCACATAGTTTCATGATGGAAACTGTCCAAACCATAATCCGGGGACAGGTAGCAGGGCGTCTTCTTACAGTACAGTATAGAGCATTACCTTTTTTTTTCTTTTGGCAGTTCGTTCCATTTTTGATTAGGTATCGTCGGCGAGCCTAGTGTAAAACAGCTCTTGCTTATAACGAGAAGTGCTGTTCATTGGTTACTGCTTGAAAGTCTTAAGCTTGATTTCAGTATTGGTGACGCCTGGTAGAAACTTTAACAAATCGCAGGCAGTCACCAAAATAGTTAATCTAGACTATCAAATATACTTAAAAAAATAATTAAGATGTACTAGATATTCTTGACAGCTTTGGCAAATCGTTCCCTTGCCATGAATTGTAAGTTGTTTCCTCCTTATGGGATGTTGGAACAGCGGTGGACCATCTCTTTTTATTTATTTCAGTTTATCATGGATTAACATCACGCTATTCGTTAGGCCATTTATACCAAATTTTATTTCTGGAAAGAGAGGGTTTAGACCCCAGGAGTACAATCTCAAAACCATCTGCCGGCTAATTGGGCTGTCCTGTTATCAAGGACATCAACAGGAATGCCACGATGGACCGAGAAATTCTTCGCTCAATATTCTTCCGACGGATTACGAGAAAATCGGTTTTGTATGGTCAATGAACCAAATTATCCTTGCATATGATAAATTTTAGTAAATTGAAATCAGCTCAGCAATGAAATTAGTGGTTTTTGTTGGTAGAATGTTTTCGAGTAGCTTATAAACACAATAACAATACTTCAAACTATGTAGATACTTGTAGGTAAAGTTTTATGTTATTTTTACCAAGTTGTTTTTTTAACAAGGCATCTGTTTTCTTAAGGCGGTGTAATGCGTGCAGATTTAAATTTAAACCGAGTAAGTTAAACAACTCTTATCTTTGAAAATAAGACCAGATGGGAGCGTTATAAATTATCGTGATATCGATGAATTGATCTTAACTCGTTCGTGTTAAAACACTTAAGATGAAGTATCTATTCTGACGTGCCACAGGTGATTCTTACCCTTTTGTGTTTGCTTTTATACATCTGATTAAGATTTAATTCATGGGAGATATTTCGACCGGCCTGGAAATTGTGGGCGAAGCTGATAAGTGATAACTCTTCTGCCGAGGTGATACCGTGTCTCGACAAATTTGACTTGTCCGTTCAACTATGCGGGCCGTCACGAATCCAGTGTTTTTACCGTCTAAAGCTTGTAGAAAACACGTTCCGTTCTTGTACTGAAATTACGCTGAGACGTATTTTTAGACATATTTGTAAAGCAAACTAATTGCTGTTAATCACAATGAATGATTATAATTTGTTTAAACTGGCTTGATGGTGTGATAACAACTGAATTCTTTCGAAAGGCCTATTACACTCGTCACGTTTATCTTTTCGGCCCTTTTGACATATTAACATGACCATTTATGATGTCAATGCTCGTACTGTTGAATTCGTCAGTTGACGCGAAAAGAACCAACTAAATTGGTTCAGTTTATTTTACATAAAATATAAATTATCATGAAGTAACGCACATAAAAAAAGATCACATTTTTGTGAAAAAGTCAAATTTGGTCATCATAAGGTCGTTGTTTGGGGCGTCGGTGGCCGCTACGGTTTAGGCGTTGACACGGCGCTCATACTATAAGGTGAAGTTCCAGGGTTCGAATCCAGCGGGCCTGTATTCGAACCCGACATACTTACAATTGTTTTCAAAACATCGGCACCCCAAGGGTTCATAAATCTCGTAGTTGAAATACCTTCGTTAAAAAAAAGTTATTGGTGCCTTCTTTGGATTAAGTCTTTTTTCCGGTAGGTCTTTCTAATCGTCGGTTCTTAAGTACAAATTTAAAAAAAGACTTCATCCACCCAACCCAACCTCACACGCACGTATTGAACAGACTAGAGAAATCATACTGAGGATGGTGAAATGACGAAACGCCTCCCATCAGATAATCATGTGATATTTGGACAAAAACAATCACAAAGGACCAAATAACAGGTTCTCCACCCTCAGACAACACGGGAAAATATCCAAAAGTTAGTTAATCTGCGAGTAATTTTTTTTCGACAGTGATAACATATCTAGGTCCGACTAGACCTAGTTTTTTGACGTTGAACCCCATACGCGTTTCGGCTTTACGCCATCTTCAGCAAAGAACTATGAAAATCAGAGTGAACACATGAATACAGAACTGCCAAAATTTGCCTTCATTCACTCGCAGATCTGCCAAAAAAAAAGTCCTCTGTAAAGGAACAATTTTTGACCTGGGTATGAATCAATACAAAATTTAGTGAAAATGTTCACTGCTTAACAAAAAGAAAATTAATACATTAAAGCATAAAAGATTTTTCTGTATTTACAAACTGAAGATTGCTCATACGCTTCTGACATAATATCACCCCAGTAATAGGCTGGCCAAAATGGTCGGTAACGACCAAATTTCACGTCCACTACCGCAGAAAACACAGAGAGATCTTAGAAAAAGTAAAAGTCTTAGTTGGCTTGTGAATAAATGAACGGATCACACTACTTTTCGGTGGGTCTTTTTTGTCCATCATCAGCGAGAAACTGAGCAAACCAGAGAGAACAGATGGGTCCAGAAAACTCGCCAAATATGTGTACTTCTTAGATACAAAGTAGTCAATTTATAGTGAGATTGCTTCGTGTTGTCACACTGAAGATGGCAAAATGACGAAACCCATCTTAACAACCACCCTTTTCCAGGATAGAAAGACCAAAATGATAATAACGACCAAATTTCACGTCCACTACCACAGAAAACACAGATATGTTAGAAAAAGTAAAAGTCTTAGTTGAACTTGAAGAATAAATGAACGGATCACACTACTTTTCGCTGGGTTTTTTAGTTCATCAACAGGCGAGAAACTGTGGAAAGCAGAGAGAACAGATGGGTTCAGAAAACTCGCCAAATATGTGTTCATCCATTCGCAG